TATAATCCAGCTTATATTAATCTGGCTTAATAATTTAGATTACAATAATCTTAAGCTGAAACAAACAGGGCCTAAGTTGCTATGGAAAAGATATTACTGTTTCTACTTTATTTTGACTGACTTAAGTCAAATAAAATATATGTATGTTATTTCACTGTCAAATCTCCCGTAGTCTATATATATATAGTTTTAGGACTAACTGCCTTTTCCTAAATGTATGGTGTGTTTGAAGTCTCTTTGTTTACATATATATACAAGAGTTAGGGCCTTCGCTTTAAAGGAAAAACATAGAAATTTTGTAGGATTCTGATCCTATTTAATTTTTTCCTATATAGCCGTTTGTAACAAAGGATTAAAAATTATTGAATCCTATGAAATTCCTAAGAAATGCCTCAATCCATACAAGTTTTGGAGGATTTTTAACATGAGATCTACCCTCATAGAAAGTTTCCTATGAGCCTATCTTTCTCATTTAATTCCTAAGTTTTTCCTGTGTCTCAATCAAATAATCATTCCTGTATTTTTTTCTGCATTTAACATTCCTCTGTTTTGCAGTAGAATTCAATCAGAATTCTATGTTTTTTATATTCCTCCATTTTCTCAATCATTTGATTCAAAGGGGCCATTAGTTGTTAGGGTTATGAAATTTATCTCGGATTGTTTACACTAATCAATGTAGAGCTTCACACATTTGAACTAGTATGTAGTACATCAACCCCCCCCCCTCTCCTATAAATGAAAGTTATTGAAAAGTCATTAAGCTACAATTAATTCATATGCACAGTTGAATGACACGGATTTAAGAATGATGAACTCACGGTAAAATTTCCTATGGAATTGGTGCATTGGATAGCAATCCATAGGAATTTTGCATGCTCAAATCCTTTGTTCCTAACAACACATGTAGGAAAAATTCCTAAGGTTTAGAATATTTGAAATTCAATTTAGGGCTCCTTTGAAACATAGGATTCTCTAAACACGGGAATAGGAAAATGCAGGATTTAAATGTCATCGTAGCTAAGGAATGAAAAACATGAGAAAACTACACAATAAAACCGCTTTGGATGGAGCATAGGAAAAACATAGGATTCAGAAGAGAGAGGTAGACATTGAGAAAAAAATTCCAAGAGCTTGGAGCTCATGCTAGGAGTCCTCCACGATTCCCATGAAACATGCCATTCCAATAGGAATTTCAAAGGAATTCCAAAGACCCAATCATTTGTCCCAAAGGGCCTCATAGGAAATTTTCCTATAGGACTCAAACCCTTTGAAATTCCTCTATTTTTCTCTTATTCCAAAGGATCCCTCGTGTGGGTGAGAGTTAGCTTGTAAGCCATGACACTCCAACCATACTATCGTGGGTTAATACGCGAAGTGAAAATAAAATTGTACACATGGTACTAAGAAATTTGAGCTCGCACTATATGAGAATGACTAATGCGGATTTCGGAGACAAGGTGTTACATTTTCTATTGCAATATAATGATGATATCTAACAAATTGTAATTTTGTAAAAGCACTCAAAAGAAATATCTAAACATACAACATTTTATGTTTTCAAACTAAATGTTTTGAGAACTATTGATGGTTAAAATTGTAAAAGTTTAACTGAAAAAAGAAACAATACAATACATTTAGATATGGAAGGAGTATATCATCTGAGTTGTACTCTGAGACATCCATTAATCCATTTATATCAACTAGGAAGGTAGCCCGCGCATTCGCGCGGGCAAGTATTGTACATTCTGTTTGAAAAATATATTATATATATATATATATAGACACACACACACACACAAATACTATTTTTAAGACACATCAGGTGAGGCCTCCGCTGTTCATCGGTATTTTGCTTTGATAATTTTTCCTATATATTTGTTATGTTTTAAAATATATATTATTTAATACATATGTATAAATAATCATCTATGATCTTATTATTATATAGAAAGATGATCGATTCAGTTTGTTTGGAAAACGTGTCTAACAAATCAAGTGTAAATTAGAAATAAGGTGTTTTGTCATTTTTTTAATTGAATGTCTACTTGCTTTCTTAACAAATTCTAAAGAACTATTATTGTTAATAAATATGTTTTATCGGTACCATCAAGTAGTTCTCCTTCTAGTTGGTTTAAGATGATGCAAGTTGTTACATACTTATATATAAATTAATAAAGGCATGTCATATACCTCGCTTCCTCGTGATTTGTGTGACCTATACTATATTTTTCAAAAGAAAATACCTAGTTAACATGAATCCAAAATTTTAAATCTAATAGTAACAAATATAAGTTTTCAATGAACTATATATTGCGAACCTTTGTGTGGTTTATATGTGTAATAATATGTGGAGAAACTCATAATGCTATGATATAGGATAGATGTAAGGCCATTAATGTCTAAGCATTTTAAAATTATTATGAAAATGGAACATGCAATGGTTGGTCTAATTTTAGTGAATGGAAGAACCAATTTTTTACGAACTTATTACGTTTTCTCTAAATAGTTCAATTGACTCCCTATTGACATATTCTATTGCTTGCTTTATTTTATATTTTATACCAGTTCAAAATATAGGTTTTATGGATCTTTAAATCATTGGTTTAATTATAAATACAACAATATTTAGATTAGAAATAAGATGTGTAGCTTTAAATTTATGCATGTTTTAATATTTTTGATTATTTCTCGCTGTATAAACAGGAAGGGATAGAGTGGAGAGCTCAAGCCGAGAAGGGATGGGACGAGTAGTGTCGTGTTGTGAGTATGTGTAGGGGAGGGTGAAGTGGAGGGGTGGTTTTTTCTATTTTATCTAATGATTAAGACGTAACACATGGCGGCTTAAGATTTTCCTAAAAGTATATCTGATGGATCTACCTATTTGAGTGGAAACTGATGGTCAGATGGTTTTTCTTCCAATTCGTAAAGTTTTATTTTTATTTAAGGCGTAACACGTGACGTCTTAAGTGCGCTCAGAGGATGTACAATGATTTATGGTAATATAATACTTATTTTCATTTTGTATTATGTTGTCTTTTTTCTATTTGGCTACGATGCAAAGGAACGGTGTCTATGTTAAATGATGTATTTTCATTTTTATAGAGTGAAATATGGGTAACATGGATTTTAAATTATCTATTTAATTATAAATAAAACAAAAATTCAAATAAGTGAAAATTATTATTGAACTTAATAATTATAATCATTTAGCTTTCTAATTATTGATCTTTTTTTACTTAGTTAAAAATTAGGAGATAAAGGAATTAAATGAGAGATGAGAGGAAGAGAGAGTTTAAGGGAAGAGATTACGCGTGCATATAATTGTAATATTTCCTTTTACGGGGTTGTAGTGTCTTAGTTTCTATTGATTGATTAAAATATATCTTTTTTGCTTGTCTTTTCCAGTATATTCACAGTAGATATTAAAAATACGAACACTACAATCTAATAATGTTATATTGTAATAATGTTTTTTTGACTTATTCTAATGTTATACTGGGGGAGTAGTTTTTAAAACATACTTTTTTCCATATAGATCAAATTTAATTATTCCGAAGTCATATATGGTGATAAATTCTATGTAATTATCTTTCTATAATTTTATAATTGTTCGAAAAGCACACAAAAATTAGAAAATATAGCCCCAAAGTGACATATTTCTTCTCAAAGTTGATATTACAGTGGATATGGGTCTTTAAATGTAAAACAATCTAAAGACATAAGTTGATCAAATACTAGTTGTTTGATTTAGATGTTATAGTTGCTTATTTTTTACATAAGTTTTACTACCTAACTAACATACTTTGGAGATATTACTCATAATATATTCATTTTTCTTTTACGATTGTCGACCTATTTTAATTATTACGAAGTTATGTATGATGAAAAAATCTGTATTATTATTATTATATATTTTTTTAGTTGCTTGAATGGTACGCAAAAGTCAGAAAATATAAACCAAAATGATATTTTTTTTAAGCTAAATAATAGTGAAATATGGTCTTCAACCATAAATTTAGTTATAAATAATCTAGAGATTTACGTGGATCATTAGTTGTATGATTTAGAAGATTAATTGTTTAACACAAAATTATTACTTATCTAACTAATAAAGCATGAAAAAAGGAGAAGGAATAGGTAAAAGTGTGGAGATATGAATTGAAGGAAGAGGAGGCGTACATACGTCTGCTTGTTTTTTTTCTAAAAAAATTAACTTATACATACAGGCTTAGGTGGGCCTGGGTATAGGAGAGAAATGTTTTCTTGAAAATTAATCTAATGGTTGTAAATAATGTGTTCACCAAATTGTTTTAGAAATTTTAAAAAATTCACTAATTTATTAGAGCATCACGTGCCAACTTAGGAACGTTTGTAGGATGTCATATGGAGGATTATTTTTAAAAAGTTTAATGAACTTTTAGTTTATAATGGGTACATCTAATCTAGTATTCTAAAACATCGATAGGGTCTGCCAATTTAAATGAAAATCAATGGTGATATTTACGTAAATTTATAGAGTAAAATGTTTTATATCTTTAAATAATAGAAAATCCTATTTTAAATATCATCAATTTTTTCGCATGGTACTAACTACGTATGTTTTTTTTTCTTATTGATTTTATAGTAATTTTGTGCGTAGTTTTTTTTTTCTTCTGACGCCAACAATTGGTAAGCTTCATTGGTTCCCTCGTTGTACGTACGTATGATGTTTCTCCTGTATACGTACGAATTATAGTAAGAAATTAGTTTCTTTAAAATAAAATACATCTAATCTAATGGCCTAAAATATCGGGTCCACCGATTTAAGTGAAAATATAATCTAATGGTCTAAAATATTGGGTCCACCAATTTAAGTGAAAATCAACGGTTAGATTAGATAGAGCCACGTGGCGGCCTAGGAGCGTTGGTAGGAGTCTCACGTGGCGGCTTGAGAGCGTTTATAGAAAGTTTAATGGACTTTTAGTATATATAATAGATAATAGATAGATAGAAGATAGATAGATAGAAGATAGAAGATTAGCAGGCCATTTAAGCTTACTACCAGCTAGGCCCATGATTTATTCAATCTCATGGATATAGGATTATTACAACACGCTGTTAAGCGGTTTTATTTTGGTGTAGCCCTCCTGGCGTTGTATGCCAGCACTTAAAAGGTCGCATCTCCTCCGATGCCTGTAATAGAGTAACTTGGAACCTGAATAAAATAATTGCGATACTTAATTAATTAATATCCTCAAATAAAATAAAACGAACATAAGTAAGTTATGGAAAAATTATTGGCCTAAATGAATGAAAATGATATGTATTTTATTTTTACCTCTGGAGCTGGTGGTGCATTTACGGAGTTACCACTGAGGAAGGAAGTGCCATTGAAGCTGGAGCCAGACACAGGGACACTTGTACTGTTGCCAATGTCACGGTTCTAACATTAACAAAATTAAGAAGAAAAATATGCTCCATTAACCTTGGATTAATTAAATTACTATCAAATTCACTGATATATATACTCTAGTTATTTACCATGTTTAATCAATTGATTACCTGCATGCCGTTCATGATGCCCTGCTGGAACTTGCCTTGCACCACAGGACTGATCATAACACTGCTCCCGTTGCGAGACATGGTTAATTATGTGTTTAAAGTGTTTTTTTTTTTGTATGAGTGTTTGTAGGTGTGTTAATTTGGTGGTGGCGCTCTTGGCTCTCTGAGTTCACGGTGGTAATATTTGTGTGTGCTTTTATAGTGCGAAAAACTCATCTATCGTTACTGTGGAGAGAATTTGTCCTGGATAAGATTGCATATATGACTTTCATTTTTTCTTCTTGGGAGATCGAATATGTTGATCTTGATATATATGCTTGTAGTGAATGGTGTGTGCATTTGTTCCTAGGATCAGCTAGCGTACACGTACCTTGAAGTCTTAATTATTTGTGGATCTCGTTTAGTAACATGCACACTAGATTATAATAATAACTTATTAGTTTCTATAGCACAATACTAGGCAATTGCCATTCATACATAGTGGACACACTTAATCCTTCTAAACACTTATTATAACTTAAGTCTTAAAATTTCTTGTATCTCTTCTTAAGTCTTGCATAAGACTTAAGACTTATGCAAGAGTCTCACGGTAATAAATTTAGCATTCTAATTTTGAATTACCATCAGACTCTTGCATTGATGTTCTATAAGTTAATTTCTACCGCAACTTTGTGGAAAAAGAAAAATTGATCCATAACATAAAAAATAACCTAGTACCAAAAAATAGCATAAAAAGTTTTCGCTTTCGACTAGAAACACCAGCCATCGATTTTCCTTCGATACCTAACACACCATTCCTATTTTGAGCAAACGAACGCTAGACGTCGTTTAGATCAGAGTAGATAAATTTATGCTCGCACTAATTTGTCCTTCGTCTCCGGGTGGCGTCGCCGCCGCCGTACGTTCGAGACGGAGGCCACCGCCGTCGGCCGCGCGCCACTGTCGGACGTCGTCGACCCGTCGTCGCCCCACCCCGCGGCGCCTCGCAAGCAGCCACCATCGTCGCCCTTTTCCTCGATCGGCGCGTGACGCCTCAGAGCAGATACAATAGCAGGATATAATCTAGCTATATAAACATATTTTAAATAGATAAAGGGAGAGATAAGAGCAGCTAGCGATAGATCTGTAGCCAACTGTAGCACAGACTCCAAGATATAATGTGTGTATGATATGTGAGACAAGGTATTAATATTATAGTAAGCAACTATTATATGAATTGGCTATTACATTGACTATTAAACTTGCTCTTAGAAGCAGCCGCCGTCATCACCCTTTCTTTCGGAGATCACCTCGCAACTTGCAAGCACGACCGAACTAATAATTAAGAAAAGGAGCTAGAGCAGCCAACCAAGTTCCCTATGCTATAGGGATAGAACAAGGGCAAATTGGTATTTGTAAGTGTCAACTCATGGCTAAACACTCGACTACATAACTGCAACCACGACGGAATCGAAGAAAAATCAGTGGCATATGTGCTTCTAGTCGAAAACGGAAATTTTTTGTGCTTTTTTTTCTTGTACCGCATTGTTTTATGAGCTATGTATTGAATTTTTTCTTCTGAAAATTTGTAATTTCACGGTATTTTTGAGTAGGTACTCGGAGGTAGTAGTACTATTTTTTTTCAAGAAAGTTACTATATTTCCTAGTTTAATTTATACTACCTATACTTAGAGATAATAGAAAAATACTTTAAAAATTGTCTACCTCTCTCAGTTATCTTCCTAAGGAAGTGAAATATGATAATGGTGACATGATTTTTATAATCCACTTAAAAGGCACTTCTGTCGACCTTTGTTGCAACATGTGTTTCATACGTTAAGTATTGAGCGATGCTCCAGAGTTCTCTACTGGTCGTATTATACTACCAGTATTATTAGCGGTAAATTAATAATTTATTATTACAATAATGAGGAGTTACTTTGTTATTTATGTTCTTTCCCGACTAAATTGATATATGATCATTCATTGCGTTAGCATCGCTCATATATCATCAAAAAATCCAAAAAAAAAGGAAAAAAAAGGTATAGTCACTGCTTGACGATTATACCCTCTGCACCTATTTTTTTTATAATAATGCCCCTCCACATTTCTATTACCGCTAATTAGGGTAGTAGTATAAATAGATCTAAACCCTTTGATCAAATGAAATCAATGAAATGAAATCAATGGTTTCTACTACCAGTAGAGAGCACCATAGTGAGGCTCTTAAGTATTTGTTTGATGAGTTTTTTTTTTAACTTTTCTCCTTAGAATACAAAGGCTGATCAGTTTGTGGTTGTTATGGGAAGAAAACAAGTATAATCATTGTAGTTTTTCTTTATCGACTTACAGTCAAATAAAATATGTTATCCGAAATGTCACCTCTCCCCTAGTTATTTCATATTTTTAGTGCCTTTTCCTTTATGTATGGACAGTATGGTTTGTTTGAAGTTACTTCATTTATATCCAGGAGTTATCTGTTCTGTAATCTGTCTTAGATTGTTCACACTCACACATTCGTTTAGTATAACTAAAGGTCATTGAAAAGTTAGCTAGTACAACTTATTCATCCGCACAATCTGAAATGACTTGTATATTTAACAACGAAATAACAACATATTTGGAGTATGTAAACAAGGTATATCTTCTGAGTCATACACTGAGACATCCATTAATCCATTAATCCATATGTATCAATTAAAATGCCTTTTTAGCTTAGTCCCAGCTAGGCCCATGATTTTATTTAATCATACATATATAGGATTATATTACAAACACGCTATTAAGCGGTTTTTTATTTGGTTGCAGCACACATAATTCATTCGTTCGTTCAAGCTTAATTATGCATGCTGGTCCTTTTGCCATCTGAGGCTAGCTGCTTAGAAGGTTGCGTTCCCTCCTATGCCAGTAATAGAAAAACTTGGAACCTGAATGAAATAACATCACTACTTAATTAGTTAATAATCGGTTAAAAATGAAACAAACAGCAGTAATTTATGGAAAATTATTGGCCCAAATGAACGAATTCGCTCTGTATTTTCTTTTACCTGCCGAGCCGGTGCAGGTGCATTAGCATAGTTGCCACTGAGGAAGGCAGTGCCATTGAAGCTGGAGCCAGACACAGGGACACTCGTGCTGTTGCCGATGTTAGAGTTCTAATTTGAGAAGAAAAACATGTATGGTTCGTTAATCTCTTAGGTTTATTAAATTACGGCAAATATACGAAATGTCAAATGCAATCTTTCTCTCTAGATATTAACCGGGTTTAATTTAAGTGATTACCTGCATGCCGTTCATGACGCCCTGCTGCATCTTTCCTTGCACCACAGGGCTGATCATCACGCTGCTCCCATTGGTAGACATGGTTAATTATGTGTCTAAGTGTTTTTTTTTGTCTCAAATGTAGTGTCAATAATTTGTTGGTGGCGCTATTGGCTCTTTGAGTTCATGGTGGTGATATTTGCCGTGCTTTTATAGTGTGGAAACTAGTCTATCACTATGGTGTAGAGAATATGTCCTGAAGATATATATATATATATAAGATTATATGGCTTTATTTTCTTCTTTGGAGAATATGTTTAACCCGATATATATGCTTGTGGAGAAAGATCGATGTTGTGGAGAATAAAGGGGTAGCACACGAGAGTTTAGACACGTTCAAATTAACCCCCTCAATGAGAGATAATACTTTATTTATGTTTGATGGATTGGATATTTCGGATTGTATTGATCATGGTGATCTTGGTTGTGTTGATCTCATGGATCTTTTGTCTGGTCAACCCCTGAGGGGGCTCCCTGCCCACCTTATTTAAGTTGGAGGCTAGGGTTACAAAGAGGAAAACCTAGCCAGACAAGTCTTCAGTTTCCTAATCTATATAAGGTAGTATTCAGATGGGATTCTATACCCTGCCTTATGGCATAAGGTAGCATGACGATTGAGTCCTATTCTATATCTTATTACATGGATGCAGTTCACTTCTTATCTGTAGTCGGATATACAGGCTGTGTGGGTACCTAGTACCCATATCTTCTACGGTTGTCCCCGAGACCTTCACAGTCGAATTGTAGTTTTTCCATGGTTTATGACCAATACTGAGTACTGCATATTTGCTATGAAGGCTTCTTAAGTGCTTCTTTCTTGAGTTCTCTTTTTTGATATCTTGCAAAGAGACTGTGGAGGGCTCCGTCGATAAATGAATAAACAAGTGCATCGAATAGATGAACCTAAAAGGTGTAGCTCCCGACTATGTAATACCCCCGCTAGCCGAGTGGCTTAAACCTTGATGCAGTATATACGATGTGAATACTAGAGTAACATGACTCGAGTGATATATTGATTATATAATCGGGTCTTTTCCAATCAACATCTGAGTTTTATAAAAAGCGGTAAATAGCACGTGGGTTGTTGGAACAACACCACCTAATGAATAGTAGGACATGCTTAATTCACAATGCATGGTAGTTATTGGGTCACGAACACACTAGCCTCTAGGCCCACCATGCCCGATAAAATCAAGATAAAATGACACGTGTATCGCTCCTTTCGTCAGCTCTCGAATGACATATCTCTTCGGTGATATGGACCAAGTGCATCTCATCTGAGTGTCTTCTGATCCGAATGGTTTATCTTTATCTCTCATGGGGCATAGTGAAATAAAGGTGGTATCTGAGTCTCAACTGGCACAAGTACTCAGTCGGTGGCCCTCGTGGGGTGTAATGACTGGTCCATACCTTAAGCATAGGAAATAGGCTCATGGGTATGAATTACTATTGCACGTATCTAGAACAAGTCAAGATTGAATGTGTGATCCTCATGTTTGAGCTGGTGAGCCCCAGAGCATGTCGCTTGTCCTTCTGTCACGGTTGAGGTTGACCTTGTGTGGCGAAGGCGAGGTCACCCATTAGTGGAGCGATGGAGTCAACCGGCGTGGAGGCAAAGCCACCAGTCAGTGGGGCAATAGAGTCAATTGGTGGTGGAGACGAAGTCTCCCATAAGCGGCGTGGAGTAGGCCAACCGTGAAGGCGAGGTCACAAGTTGGTGGCAGCAGGCAGCCGGTGGTGAAGACGAAGTCACTCATCCCGAAGCAAAGAACATGGTTGGCAATAGTTGGCCAGAGATGAAGGTTGTACCAATGGGAAAGGTGCCTGCGGTGACATCAGTGACAATAGTCCAATGAACTATTGAGAAGATGTCCAAGCTCGAGTAATTTTCTTGATTCTAGCGCGCGGGTTACGAAGATTGATGCATCGCATCTTTCTTCATATCGGTGGCAGTAGAACTTGGTGTTGTAGCGATTAATGATGTTTCACGTGGAGGAGAGTAGTTGCCGTCCTAGTAATCGAACTAAATTGATTGGTTGATGACTCCAACCTCCCTAGGCCCGAACTCGGTAAGCTCAAACCCATACTAAGTCAAACTATAGAGAGCAGAGCCGAGTTTGACCTGGACCTGTAGACTAGATCTCAAACTTGACACTTGAGAAACTTAGAGTAGACTATGTAGTGTTCGATAGACCGAATGGGATCTGGTTGATTGTTGTTTCCTCTAACTGATTCAAACCCAGGTCGGAGAAGAAGAGTTTGCCAAAGTTGTCGATGAGAAAATTGGACACCGAGAAGAAGAGTTTGCAAAAGTTGATTACATAGCACTTGTTGACTAGTTAGTTGATAGCTTTATCCCAACAAAACGCCCGTCGAATTTCAATCTTGTATTTGTTCAGCCTCCGACTCAATTGTTAGTTGAAAAACAACTAAACATAGAGTCAAGAACAACAACTTATTATCAAGCCATCGCTTGAGTGGAGATGCATATTGAAAATGCCAACCAACCTCCCTAGATTCAAACTCGATAGCCTCAAGGCCATGTCTGAGTGTAAAGCTAAAAGATTAGGGCACCACCTGTTGTAGTAGATTAGTACGGCATCGTGTCTGGCGGCGCATGTAGGGATGTCGGAATTCTAGGAGATGCCAGGGTCGGCAAAGTGGAGGTAGCGAAGGCGGCCAATGGTAAAGACAAAGTTGCCCATCAGTGTGTAGCGAAGTCAACCGGCGTAGGGGCGAGGCATCAATAGGCGATGATGATGAGGTCGCCCATCAGCAGCGGCAAAGTTGGCCAGCCGTGAAGGCGAGGTCACAAGTCGGCGACGACAGAGTCAACCGGCGGTGAAGATGAGGTTGCCCATCAGCATTGGGGTAATAGGACAACTGTGAAGGCAAGGTCACCGGTCGACGACAGTGGACACAACCGGCGGTGAAAACAAGGTCGTCTATCAGCAACAGCGAAGCTGGTCAGCCATGGAAGCGATATCACCCGTTGACGGCAGGAGGTGGCTAATGGTGAAGATGAGGTCACCCGTCAATGGCGGCGTAGTAGGCCAACCGTGAAGGTGAGGTTACCAATTGACGGCTGTGGAGGCAGCCAGCGGTGAAGACGAGGTCGCCCATCAATGGTGATTTAGTAGGCCAACCGTGAAGGTGTGAGGTTAGCGGTCTGTGGTAGTGAAGGAAGCCAGCGGTGAATACGAGGTTGTCCATCAGTAGCGGCGGAGTCGAGCAGCCGTGAAAGCGAGGTCAAACAGAGTACGCATGCCAGGGAAGACCCCATGGCCGGTTGACTACATAGTGACACCACGAGTCGACAATCGCTAGCACTCACATCAGTAGTGCCGTGGAATTATATATGAACAATAAAAAAAACACCAATAGATTCATCCATGATTAGAAATCAATCTAATAAACAATGATAAATTGGAAGGGAAAAAAACGCAGCGACATCGGAGATTTAATCATCAAACTCGCCAAGGTTGATCTCCCTGACGAGATTGAGCCTGTGTCGGAGAGAACAAGCTTGGAACAGGCCTTCGCGGTGTTTGGGAGACCAAATGAGATCAAAGTGGTCTGAGCCTTCCAGACTGGTTTGAATCCGAGTCGGAGAGGAAGTGATTTCCAAAGTCATCGTTAAAGAAGACGAAACTTCCAAAGCGAAGGTTTGCCTTGGGGCGAAGATGAATCCAACGATTCCTAAGATTGATTCAATCGCACTTCTCGACGGGAAACTCAGCGTCACCCCTACCTGCTGCACCAGCTATCGATGTATTTATCAACGATAATAAAGGGGGTAGCATATGAGACCTAAAGTGGATGGATGCAAGTAGACAAGAGTTTAGACATGTTTCAAGCCTCCTTGATGAGAGATAACATCAAACTCTTGTTTGGTGGATTGGATCAGCTATATTGTATTGATCATGGTGATCTTGGTTGTGTTGTCCTCATGGATCTTTTGTCTGGTCAATCTGGTTCCCTTGAGGGGGCTTCATGCTCACCTTATATAGGTTGGGAAGCAGGATTGCGAGAAGAGAAACCTAACCAGATACGGCTTCTGTTTCCTAATCTATATAAAGTAGTATTCAGCCGAGACTCTATACCCTGCCTCGCAACATAAGACAACATGGCAACTGAGTGCTACTCTATGTTTTATTACATGGATGTAGCCCCCATGGCCTATCTGTAGTTGGATATGTAGGCTGTATCAGTACCCCGGTACCCATGTATCAGTACCCCGGTACCCATATCTTTCACAGATGTGTGCTAATTTGTTCCTATGATCAACTAGCTAGCATATGCATCATAGTCTCGTGGGTCTTGTTTAATTAGTACTCCATTTGTCCCAAAATATAAGCATTTTAGACTTCGACATGGTCTTTGAGATACTATTTTGACCAACAAAATCTATGAAAGTAAGATGTTTTAAATAAAAAAGAGTTGTATATTATGATAGTTTGTTTAATGATAAATCTAGTAACATTAATTTTACATTATTGTTCTTTTTAATTTTTTTTCTACTAATAGTTAATGTTAAAAATGTTTGATTTCACACTATGCTAAAAATGCTTATATTTTGGGACGGGACGGAGGGAGTAACATTTACACTAGATAATAATTTAACCTGGTTATATAGTTAATACAATGTGAGTTATTTGATATGACTCATGGATAATTCTTTCATGGGCATCCCTTAGGGCTTGTTCAGTAAATTCCTACAGGAAGGAATTTATTTTTAGGGGAAGGGACGTTTGATTTCACGTCTCTCCGCATAGACTTCCATTCCTATGAGGAGGAATTAACCAAACAAATCCTTAGGAAAATAATTTCCTAGGCTAAAATAGTATCCTGAGCTCTGAAATAAGTAATTAGACAAGAATATATATATATATATATATATATATATATATATACATATATATATATATACATATATATATATATGATATCCATATGGGACTCCATGTTGCCCGGGCTCCAAGGTATAAAACACACAAATTCTCTCAAATTTTGAAAAATTTTCAAATTGTGAGTATATACCTAGGTATATGAATTTAATTCATACATATACCTAACAACGAAACAACTCAAACTCAACTTTATTTCACAATTCATTATTACATACCTAACGAAT